TTGTAAGCCACATTTTCTGCTTTCTATGTCTAAAGACTGATCCATATATATAAGGTCTTCGTGATTTTTGCTTAATATGATAATGTTGTCTGCAAAACGTAGATGACTCAAAATTTCTTCGTTAATCTTAATGCCTCGTTTGCCCCAGTCAAGTTTTGAGAAAATGTACTCTAATAAACAAGTAAATAGATTAGGTGAGATCGGGCCCCCTGTCTCACCCTCTCTCGATTTTAAATGGCTGTCCTGGTCTCTCCATTCTTATTATTGCTGTAGTTTAATTACAAATTTCTTTCAGTATTCTTATATATTGGTTATATATTCCATGAGATTTCAACGTCAACCAAAGTGAGTCATGGTAAATGGAGTCAAAAGCTTTTGAATAATCAATAAATGCGATGTAAAGAGTTTTGTTATATTCTTCATATCTTTCCATTATCTGAGTCAAAACAAAGATGTGATCCATTGTAGAGAATTTGGGACGAAAACCAGCTTGTTCTCTCGGTTGCATGTAGTCTAATTTGGATTTGATTCTGTTAAGTAATACAACAACACAACTACAATGCACTCGTTCTTCCAAATCTATTGCTTCACCAAGGTTGAGAGGAAGTTCTACTTGAAGCCGGTATGAGAGAAAAAGAGACGGGTTAACTAACAAAAACAAAAAAAGGCTCAAGTATATAAAATAGATAAAAAAGGAAACGCACTTACCGGGGTGGAGTCCTGATGCCGCGGACGACGCTTATGTTCTGGTGGATGCGTTGGAAGAAGGTGCGACGATTACTCACACCACGCGAGGCGGTTATTTCTGGGGCGCGACTGCCCCAGGAATGCTATCCAAAGTAGCGTTGCGAAAGAAGAGAGCGCTCGAAGGCTGCGCGCGAGCCTTTATTGGGTCGGCCATCCCACCACCTCATCTCGGTGGGACTCGTGTTTTTATTGGTCGAAGAATCGCGTCACCTTTTAGACCCCCCTCCCCCTCAGTGTGTACGGAAGGGATATCAGGATTCATGAAGGACGGACGCTTGGCGAACAATATACCCCCGAACAAAATTATAAAAATAAATTCATTTCCGCGTAACCACACATAATTATGCGTTAAGTGAAACTGGTTTCATGTCAATATCACTCTTTGTTCTCGAGATACACGAGGCGAAAATTTAAACCGAAAATACATACATACATACATACATATACGTACATGTGCACACACGGACGTCCTCTTAAAAACCATACTATTCGACTCTAAAGACCTTGAAACGTGGATATATGTTATGTTTATGTTTATGTTTAAAGACATTTATTCTCATAAAGACATTTTATACGCCACTTACATGAGAACATAAATAAAAGTAAATCTAACTAACAAAATTTATTGTCGTACCTATGTTGTTGAAAAATAAATAACATCAAAAACAGCTATTGACGGGAAAAATCTATACAAATAAAAGAAAAGTTAAATTCTACTATACACTATCACCTTATCACCACAATAATAACCAGGAACAAACCAGTCCAACGCACTCAGATAGATATGTTTGTGATTATATGATTTGCTAGTCGCTTTTTGAATACATTGAACGAGTCTACATTTTTTATTTCCGAGGGTATCTTATTAAAAAGGCGCGAACCTTCGCATGTAATTGTGGTCTGGCCGTACTTTGTTCGAGTTTTAGGCAAAACAATGAAGCTTACGCGTCGAGTGCAGATGCGCCCAACTTTTTTTCGCTTGGTGAATTGCAGATCCGTGCGGACCTTCTTGTTCATGGATTTGCGAATAAAGATACATGTGCTGTAAATGTATAATTGTTTGATATTCATCAGATTCGTCTCTCGGAAAATTTTTGAAGTTGACGTTCGGAAATTGTAGTTGAATAGCATTTTTATGATTTTATTTTGTAGGATTTGTAATTTGTTTAATCTAGTACTGGCAGCGCTTCCCCAGACCTCGATGAGATATAACAGGTGTGGTTTAACTAGGGCATTATATATTGTGAAACGTAGTTTCTGTGGTATGTATCGAAAATTAATCCGAAGTAAGGCGTGAAGTGACATTAATTTGGTTATTAAATATTTAATGTGAACTTTCCATGTTAAATAGGTATCCAAATGAAGGCCAAGATATTTTTCATTAGTTTCTTCTTGCAATGGTGTATTGTTTATTTTAAGAGGTGTGAAATTAGGTATAGGTTTGTTTTTTGCTTTAAATATTATGTAGCTAGTTTTGGAAATGTTGATAGTTAATAAATTGTATTGTAACCAATCGTGAAGAATGTCAAGGTCCTGCTGGGCTTGAGAGACAAGATCATGAATTGAAGGGCCAAAGTAAAAAAGGCAAGTGTCGTCGGCGTAAAGTGTGATATTGCCATTCAAGCCCAACTCATGCATATTGTTAATATAGACTAAAAAGAGCAGAGGACCCAATATTGAACCTTGTGGAACTCCATAGGTTATGGGTTGTGGGGGACTTTGAGTGCTACTGTCTATTTTTACGATCTGGGATCTATTCGTGAGGTAAGACTCAAACATTTTTAAGGCTGTGCCAGTAATACCAATGACTTCCAGTTTTTTTAAGAGCAGTTTATGACTTACGGTGTCAAATGCCTTTTTCAAATCGATGAATACTCCTAGTACGATGTTTTTTTTATCAATGTTTTGTTTGATTTTAGTTACCAGATCAATTGTAGCTGTGAGTGTATTACTTTTAGAACGAAATCCGTACTGTCTTTCAAAAAAGAAATCTATAGAATCTAAGTAGTTTTGTAGCCGTGTATGTAAGACTTTTTCGAGAATTTTTGATAATACTGGCAGTACGAAAATTGGTCGATAGTTGCCCGGTTCTGTTTTTGGTCCCGATTTATAAATAGGTGTTACTTTGGCTATTTTAAGTGAGTCTGGAAATGATCCGTTTTGTAAAAGTTTGTTGAAGTTTTTCGTTAATGAACTTATTATTAAGTCCTTCACACACTTGATAACCTTTGTACTAATACCATCTAGACCGACACTACTGTTTGAATCAAGTTTGTTAATAATATTAAGAATTTCTTCTTCAGTATTGAATAATACCTCTATTATTAATTGATATGTGGTTGCTTAAATAGGTTGTCCAGTGAATTAGAACAGTGATTTAAAATGTAAAGGTATTTAGTTCATCATGCGTATAATAAAGGAGTGGAATAATTTGCCAGCATCTGTCTTTCCATCCGATCATAAAATGGGTATCTTCAAAGCAAGAGTGAACAGACTTTCGTTAAACTAAGTCGGTGTGCTTTAACATCTTCGACTGCATCACCACGGTGATGATAATGATGATGACTGGTTTAGCATAGTTAAAGAAACCAAACATATTAGAATTTTTTTATATCATGTACATATTTAAATGAGAATCATATTATTCAATAAATTGTAATTTATACAATGTTACGAAAAAAATTGTATATGTAATTCGGTGAACGAATCTCACGTTAAATTGCTTAGCAAAGATCTAATTACCTCGGAATTATTCATTTTTGAGTAGTCTGTTTCTTGTGTAAATTTTAATAAAAACTTTCATTTCTTTCTGCACCATATAAACATGTTTTGGCAACGATATTCCAATCTGGAATATAGTTGCCAAAACAAGTAAAGCATTGAAATGCATTTTCGGCTTTGTAAGTAATCATCGTTCTTTGTTGTTCTTTTGCGTAGAATTGAACAAACAAAGGGCGCTTAATTATTTGTTGAGTTTCGTTTAATTATTTGAAAAACAAGTCACGGTTCTGGAAGAATATAGATCGTAAACAGAGTTTTGCTTTTAAGAAGTTCGTTATTAAAACAATAATTTCCCTTACTACTTGATTCACAAAAACATAGATTGCCAATTTGTGGTCGTTTATTTGACTGTTTGTATAAAGTTGACTGTTAATATTGTTTGAAATTATATTATGATCTATCAATTATAAAATCTGTTATAAAACTTAATTGACTAAGGAACTTACAATCCACCTGATGGCAAGTGGCTAATAAAGTCTGTCGATACCTTCAACCAGCATCAAACAAAGAAGCCTACAAATGCTTTGCGTTGCGTTACCCTTCAGTCTGGAGCACTGTACCTATCCAGATAAATTCCAAGACAGATATGGAGTTCTACCACACAACACTATTTAGTATATACTATTTAAGGATGGTCAGTAGCAATTTAAAAAATTATCAATTGAAATAAAACCGATCTCTGTGCTGCTCATTTACATTAGAAAATTTGTCGAAAATTTATCGCAAAATGGCTTCCAAATTGGTAGTTTTCCCTATATATAATTATATAAATGCAACACAATCGTGATAAATATGTGTAGCAGCCAGATGGTTTAATCAGTTGGTATATTAGTCAGCCTAGTCCTTTAGCTTTAGTAGATAATTGAATATGGAAAGAAAGTAAGTATTTCGCTTGAAGTGTAAAATAGTGTAACCCTACAAATATTTAGGGTGCGAACTTCAAATTTGGAAAGTCGTGGGTTCAAACCACTATTCGACCACTATCCTAAAATACCCAAGTCCTTATCACTGTCATAATGCAAGCATTTTAAGCTTATTAACCCTAGATAACTAAACATTCGTCGACGCGACTACGCCCCTCTCCAAGAAAGTCAAGTGCACTTACTTCCCCGCGCCCCGCTCCCGTTTACCTTCCTGATTGGTGCAAATAGTTCATCGGGTGACGCGGTTGCGATCACGCGATAATTAGGAAGTGATCTACGGCTACATCGTCGTCAGGTTGACGAAAGTTTAGTTGCTGCGTACGTTAATTTGCAAAGGTATGCACAATTATTTTTTTAATATTATTTATTATTTATACAAGGCTTACTCGAAATATTTCTTTTTACTTTTATTTAAATTGATATATTTTACTATTTAATTATATATTAAGTTATTTATAGCGAAATTAAATATAAAAAAAATACATTTTATGAGATATTTCTTTGCTGCCACTAAATATTTGATTCTAAGATTTGCACTTTTATTTTTAAATGGATTTGAGAAATCAAGAAGAGCAGATAAGTAAGTGGCTCGAAGAAGTGGAAGATAAAGAGGAGGGTTCGAATGATTCGGCCTCAGAGACGGAGGATAACGTGGAGGAAGAAATACATATCAACACCTCTGATTCCGAATTCTCAAACGAATCTTCAGAACCTGAGGATGACATCATACGACCAAGTAAGAGACAAAGAACTCAAATTGTAGACTCTGATGACTCTTTAGAGGATATTCATGAAACTAATTCTCCTCAAACTTCAATCCAAGGTAACCAGCGTGTTCTTCAAGTAACTCCCCGATTCCTTTATGGGAAAAACAAACATAAATGGTCGTCTGTACCTAGATCAGCTACTACTCGTACTCTGAGACGAAACATCGTACATTTTATACCAGGTCCAAGAGGAGAAGCTAGGGAATTACAGGAACCAATAGATTTATTTCGGCTTTTCATGACTGATGATATGCTGCAACAAGTTGTGACATTTACCAATGCAGAGATTATTACTCAAAGGAATAGATATAAACAGGAGTCTTATACCGTTTCACGGACTAATTTGTTAGAAATAAAAGCTCTGCTTGGTTTGTTACTGATCGCCGCAGCTATGAAGAGCAACCATTTGCCAACTCGCATCCTATTCAATCCTCAACGATCAGGCACAATTTTTGAAGCTTGTATGAGTGCAGAAAGATTCAATTTTCTCATTAAATGTATGCGATTTGACGAAAAACAAACAAGAAATGACAGAAGAAAAGAGGACAAGTTCACACACATACGTGAACTGTGGCAAAATATGATTGACAATTTTCAAAAATGGTATACGCCAGGATCATATATTACTGTAGATGAACAACTGGTTGGTTTTCGTGGAAGATGCCCATTTAGAATATATATCCCTAATAAACCAAATAAATATGGGATAAAGCTTGTTATGGCCGCAGATGTTAACAGTAAATACGTCATAAATGCAATTCCGTACCTGGGAAAAGGAACCGATACCCAAAAACAGCCATTGGCTACATTCTTCATAAAAAACAACAATTCCTTTACATGGCACCAATCGTAACATAACGATGGACAATTGGTTCACGTCTGTAACTTTGGCCGATGAGCTATTACAGCCACCTTATAATTTGACTATAGTAGGGACTTTGAGGAGTAACAAACGGGAAATTCCTGAAAAACTTAAGAATTCTATGACTCGCGCAATTGGTACTTCGATGTTTTGTTACGATGGCGACAAGACATTAGTTTCATATAAAGCCAAGTCAAACAAAGTGGTTTTTGTGTTGTCCACAATTCATGATCAACCAAATATTGAAGACGCGACAGGAAAACCGGAAATAATTCACTTTTATAACACTACTAAGGGTGCCGTAGACACGGTGGATCAAATGTGCTCGAATATGTGTGTCAACCGAAAAACTAACAGATGGCCATTATACATTTTTTATAATATGTTAAATCTAGTTAATATCAATGCCTATGCTATTTACGTCTCGAACGACTTGAGAAATAAGAAGAAGCCGACACTACGACGCGATTTTGTCATGAAGATGGGAGACCAACTTATGGACCCTTGGCTAAGGGAGCGATTACAAACGGTGACTTTGAGGCGTAACATCAAGGTTATGATAAAAGATATTCTTGGTGAGTCATCAGAACCTGAACTCCCTGTTCATTCTGTGACCAATGTGCGTAAAATATGTTACCTATGTCCATCAAAGGCTCGTAGGATGACAAAACATCGATGCAATAAATGCAAAAATGCCATTTGTGGATCGCACAATATTGACGTGTGTAGTAGCTGCGCAGAATAATTATTTATTGTTAAATGTCTTTCTAATCAGTTGCTATTAAACCAAACTTAAGTGCCATGTAAACAGTTCCTATTTTAATAAATACTTCTGATAATTTTCATGTTTTTTATTGTGTAGTCTGCCTGACGTAAGTTTAGTTACTATGTATCTACGAATATAGTTTAGTTACCTAGGGTTAAAACAGTGGTTAACGGGGATGTTAGAAGAAATAGTGTAATTGTAGTGATGGACAACATTAAGTACTGGAATCACAATCTAAACCTGTGCAAATTAAAGACAATAAATAAAAAACATTTTAATCAATGTATATTATTTGCCGCTTAGTAACCCTGCAGTAACGGTGTGTGAATATCCCATATTATCCCGTGGATGTCGTAAGAGCCAACGAGGAGAACTGGACCAAGTGATAGGCCGTAGCATTTTCCTGATAACAACAGAATAAAAATAAAAGCTGCGATTGCTAACCTGCTTACTAAGCGTGACAATTATGGCAAATATTCGCCCTATTAAACAATATATAGGAAGACCTTTCTTCAGTAGTGGACTATAGAGCAGGCTGTATTGATAATGGTATTATTCACATAAACATAGGGTTAATTTGCAATAATCGGCAAAGTTTGCACAGAAGGTTCAAAATAAGTAATATAGGCAAATGTGTATGAAGAAAAATAATTAAATAAAACTCAAATATTCTGTTCTTTTTGTCTTTTAAATTAAAAAAAAATTGTGATAATGCATTTTTAACTGATTTTACTGCGCATGCACAGTAAAATCACACATACGAAAGCATCGATCGGTAGGCAAAAACGTTGCTGCTCATAAATCACATTCCATTCGGGATAATTTTAAATAAATGTGGAAGCCTTATTTAGTCGTATTTTCAAACACTGTAATAAATTATAAAGTTCAAATATATAAATAATGATATATCGTATATCATTATTTATAATATATTTGAACGTAAGATTAAAATTTAGCTGCTCTTTTAAAAACAACTCTCTATATTAAATCATTACTTTCTAGTAATGATTCAAAAATCAATTTCATTAGATTTATTTGCATGCAAGAGAAATTTTATGAATCCTATGAATCGTAGTCGTAAATCCTGATTCACTGTTGCAAAAAAAAAACACTGCGCTTAGCAAAATTGTAATTAATGATGATGATAATATAACCTAACTAGTCACTACGATTTCCGTTACCCAGAAATGTAAGCGTATACTACGGACTTCCATTTCGAATGATCCTGATACACCTCCTTCGCCTCTTTCAAATCCAATTACCTACGCATATTTACGTTATACCTCCTATTCGGTCAATAAACCTTCATCTATGGCGACCTGCTGACTCTGCCACTTACTTCTGCAACACTTTTGCTTTGTTTCACTTTGGTTACAGTGCAAGAAAGAAACTAAAAATGCCTTTGTCATTTTTACGAGTTTTTATTTAGTTTCACTTGTTAAGATCACACAAAACCTATTGCGCTATATTTGGTTATCTGTGGTTAAGATAGACTTTTAGAAGTTTTATAATTTGTTAATAGAAAAAATAAAAAGTTAAGAATAATTTAATTCTGATAAGAAATAATATACCATTTTATATGTAATGGGTCCGCCAAATAACTTTTTTTTTAAAATGCTATAAAAAAAAACTACTAAATATTTTTTCGAATTTCTTTTTTTATTTGAAAGTACAATCCTTCCGGTTAATGATAGAAAATAATTTCATTCAAATGGCTGCCTCGGCTGGCCATGCAGTAGCCTACACGATCGGTCCAATTTTTGAGTACATTATCGATTGTGTGCAGCTGTATTTCACCAATGGCTTCACGAATATTGTCCTTTAAAGCGTCAATTGTCTCTGGCTTGTCGGCGTAACACTTATCTTTGACGGCACCCCACAAATAATAGTCCAACGGTGTCAAATCGCAGCTCCGAGGTGGCCAAACGACATCAGCTCTGCGGCTGATAATGCGATTTTCAAAAACAGGGCGCAAAACATCAAGTGTAGCGTCGGCTGTGTGGCACGTTGCGCCGTCTTGTTGAAATCAAATGTTGCCAATATCCTCCTCTTCAATTTCTGTAAACACAATATTTCGTTCAACATGGCCCGATAACGATCGCCATTGACTGTAACGGCCACACCTTGCTCATTTTCGAAGAAAAATGGCCCAATTATGCCTCTGGACCAAAATCCGCACCAAACAGTGACTCGTTTTGGGTGCACCGGCTTTTCGATGAATGCGTGCGGGTTTTCTGTGCCACAAATGCGACAATTTTGCTTGTTTACATACCCGCCAAGTTCGAAATGAGCTTCATCTGAAAAGATGATTTTTTTGGCAAAATCCGCATCTTCTGCAAGTCGATCGCAGGCCCACTTAGCAAAGCGAAAACGCATTGGATGGTCAGTTGGCTTCAACTTCTGAACCAATTGGATTTTGTACGGCGTCATACCAATGTCTTTACGCAAAATTCGTCTCAATGATGTCTCCGAAATGTCCAATTGTTGAGAACGACGGTGAACTGATGTTGATGGCGTTTCACGCATACTTTCGGCCACAGCAGCAATATTCTTGGGTGTACGCACTGTTTTTGGCTTTTCACGCGTTGGTTTATCGATGAGAATGCCAGTTTCTTTCACTTTTTTCACAAGGTAACGAACATACGGAGCTGACGGTGCTTCATTTCTTCCAAAATCCGTACGCAATTTTCGCACACATTCTGCAACATTACCATGATTTTCAAAGTAATGTCGCAATATTTCCCAGCGTTGTTCAAGCGTATACACAACCATATTCGTTCAGCGGAAGGATAAAACTAATTATCTGTCAAATTAGACATGAGCTAAGTGTTGCCATTCACGAAATAAGCACTAGTTGAAAAAAAGAAGTTAGATGGCGGACCCTATACTTACATTCTATCCCATTTTTGAAAATAAAACGTGTTACATTTTGATGACAAGAAGAATAAAGAAAGTGTATTGCGCTTTTATTATAAAAAGTGGGCTATAATTTACCTATAAAATGGAATATTTATTATCAGAATTAAATTATTTTAAACTTTTTAGTTCTTTTAATTAAAAAATAATAAAAGATTGTTTGACAAAAATTCTATATTTAAATATAATCTTGTTATAATAGGTAAGCCTATAATCTATTAAATGTTGCACGTTGCTGTTTTAACTAGCCTTAATTGCGCTCTATAGCTGATTAGAATTTTAAAACCCTTAGTACAGTAGAAATTGTAGCCTAATCTGTGTAGCATAACGTGAAGTTAATTACTGCAACAAAAAAACTCATATGATTAAGAAAAAATAAATAAACTGCCAACCTGTAGGTTGCCAGTTAATGTATACGGCACCTACTAAGCAAAGACCTCCTCTAAACTCTCAAGGGAATTTTGAGTAGAAAAGATTTCGCGATTGTTTGCGATTTATTAATTTCTTGTAAATATAACGACAGTTATAATATTTCCAAATATGTGGTGTCGGTGTAATAATATCCACCACCCCATGTAGTCTCGCGGGTATCGTAAGAGGTGTGTGAGAGAGAAAACCAGGCGATAGGCAACGTTTTCCTGAGAATAACAATAAAATTAAAAAATATTGTCACCGGCCCGTCTGCCAATCGTAGTAACTTTGACAAATATCTCTCCTATGAGGAAATCCACAGGGGAAGCCAATCTATGTTCAGCGGTTCACCTTTGAAAATCCGTAATGAATGAATTAAAACGTAAAATATTCAACAAATTTAGGTAAGTACTCAGTAGGAATAACAAGATAATTTATTTTCAAATTCAAATTCAAATACAAATTGTTTATTGCATGTCACATTACAAATTTAAGATGGTACAATTTTGATAGGTATACATGTGACGCCTCGCAAGGGCATAGCAACACTAGAGGGCTAACTATTTTCGTATTATCTAATTTTTAAACATAAATTACAAATTATCATGTCATTAACATTCAATATTATTTTATATAAATTAATTTAATTTGAAACACAATGTATAGTCTAAGTATTCTTACTTTATCGTTATTTATCGTCAAAAAATTAATTTAAATCATAGTAACATTTATTAATAAGAAATATTTTTAATTGTTTATTAAATTGCACAGGATTTTCCAGGATTTTTATGGAATTCGGTAAATGGGTATAAATCTTTATTGACATAACGTGCGGGCTGTTTGAAACTAATTTTAATTTGGAGAAGGGTATCTTAAGCTTATATAAATTTCTATTATTTCTTTTAGTCTTTTTAATAGGTGAGTAGATTTTTGGGTGTTTCCTAACAAATTTACAAGATTCGAGGATGTAGATAGATGTAAGTGTTAAAATTTTATTTTTAATGAAGTGGGGTTTACATGACTCCATTTTGTCCAAATTTATCAATATTCGTAGACACTTCTTCTGTAACATAAATAATTTGTTTACATCACAAGAGTTTCCCCCACAAGATGATGCCATAGGAGAGTACGGAGTGAGCATGTGCATAGTAAGCCGTAAGTGCATAAATAAATGAGGATATTTTTTTTTGCAACTTTTTGTACGTGCTGTTTCCAACTCAAATGTGTGTCCAGGTCTATTCCTAACAAAGTGCCAGAGTTAACAGTTTCTAGTTTTGTATTTTTATAGTTAAACGATATTTGTAAACCAGTTTTTTGGTAGGGTTTAAATTGAATAATTTTAGTTTTATTAAGGTTAAGTTGTAAATTATGTAATTGTAGCCAGTCAGTAATTTTATCTAATGTATAGTTCAATTTTGTAGTTAAATCTGTGGAATTAGTGCAAGAGATTAAGATGGAGA